GAGAGGAGGATAGATGAGTGGTGCCCAGACGAGCGGTGGTAGGTTTGCTTAAAAGAAGGTTCAACAACGATTTTTTCGAAGGCTTGTACTTCGTCGGCCTCGAGGCGTGACGCGATCCTGAGCTGGCTGTTCGTCGGTGTAGTAGGTGCTTGCTGTACAGGTAAGCTGAGTAGGGGTATGGCGCACGTACGTACCTGTTGCTCTCTTTGCCGTGAACTCTTCGAACACGTCTCAGGTTTAGATTGTGAGGGCGACGGGCGGGCGCCCAAGAACGCCGCTTGGGGAGCCTTACGGGAGCTAGTTCCACCTCCTTGCGGACCCAGCCGGTTCTTTCCCACGATCCAGAGGATACCCGCGCCCCCGCCTTTGAAATGCAAGCCGTTATTCTTGGTTACACATACCGACCGCTACCGACACAAGGGGCCGGACGATTGGCATCCATCATCACCGGCGGCTGGAGAGTGGCGGACACTATGGAATGCTTGCTGAGACATGTTCGACACCACACCCGCGGCTCAGCGCGTTCGATGCTAACAGGAGAAAAAAAAACACACAAACACACACACACACGACACGGCGAACAAACCGACTTGTTGAAAGCACGCCTCCATGCCCTTAAGACACAAACTCTTCTTCCTCCGTGCTAAAAATCAAGCGTTCAGCGTTTTATTTTAGCCTTCCAGGAGAAGATGGAAAGTCTTGGGCGGCGCACGGAAGACGGGCAGACACAAAAAGGCACGGACGTAAACATGGTAGAGAACAACTCGCTGGCGTTTCACACCAAGACTCACACGCACACGCCTCCCCCCCCAAAAAAAATAAAGGACTCGCGCATAAAGCTCCCGCATCACCCCTGCAGTAGTTACCAGCTGACAGCCTACACTTGATGCATACAAAGCCAAAATGAACGTGTTCTCTTTCACGGTAAAAAAACAACGTTTTCGTTCGAACAATCAACACAACAAAAACAACGTTTACGTCAACACACTCTTACGTAGTTCAGCGTAAATTATTCCACACGGCAAGGAACGAGGTTCACCGCACGCACAGCTACGATACTCGAAAGCTAGCTTCGTCTCGCTGAAAATTTAATATACCTCTCCGGATGTGTGGTAATCGGAACTCGGGGTGGCTCTTTTTTCCTTTTTCGCCGCCCCAATCACCGGTGTAGTCCGGTAGGTCGGTCGGTGGCGTCAAAACAACTCGTCCGAGTTGGGCAGGTTGAGCCACTCCGCCAGGTACACGCAAGTCTTGGGCGACACCACGCCGTCCTCGGAGCAGTGCTTCATCACCTGAATTGTAGCACAGGGGTGGGATCGGGGGTCCTGATGGTTATGGGTCCATTGCCAATCCTGGCAAGTCTACAATAATACTGTATGGTACAAATTTGCAAAACTCTCTTGTTGGTTCCCTGAGGTTCGCTGGGCTCTTCGAGTCGAAAACACGGCAGCTCTTGTATGAGCTTGTTATCGGATACAGAGAGTAAGTTTTGGTCCCTTCCCATCTCCCACATTGCTACCGCTTCGGGATCAAAGCACACACGCGAATCGTCCATTCCGCTTGCGTGCCCCCCGCTTTCTCCTGCTTCGAGCAACCCATCCGTCTCCTCCGCTCACCTTGCACGTCCCGCACGGCACCTCCGTAAACGCATTCACGACCTCCACCGCTGGCGCCATCTTGTACACGGGACCATCTCCTGCCTTCTCCCCCCCCCGACACGCACACCGGTGTGCATGCAGCAGAAGAAAGAGAGAAGAAAGAGGAGCAAGGCGTGTGCGCTCATATGATAAATGCATTCTTAATCTGACCGAATGTCTCCCCCCCCCAACCCCCCCCCCCAAAAAAAAAAAAAACGAAAAAGGTTTGTGATGGTTGCCTGTAGGATTGCGTTCTGGTTGGTGGAAAAGCCTCACGTACGTATTAGGCGTGAGAAGTTCGTTTCACTACAAAAGTACATGCAATGCAAGCACAGAAACATTGCCCGTTCGAGGTACATATTGCCCCGACCGAAGGAATGCATTCAAGTCTTAAACGGTGACTGCTGTGTCGCGGCTGGCGGCGTAGGGTAACTCTTCTCACGTCTCTGTTGAACCTGGACGCGGCTCCTCGGACCTCCTCCAGGAGACCGTCGTACACCAGGGTGCTCACGATCAGCTTCACCTCCTCCATGGAGAGATCGATCTTGGAGATGCCCGACACCTTGATGGCCGCCGCGATGTCTTTCAACGGAGGCGTTTCCTGTGGCGTTGTCGGTTTCGTGGTCGTTGTCGGTTTCGGTGTTGTTTTCGGTGTTGTTTTCGTCAAGGTGTTCGATGCCGCGACAATTCGATTCGCCGTAGGTTTTGGTGTCGCAGGTTTTCCCCAGTTGTCATGGTTACCGACAGAAAGAACGAAAACGACGGAGGCGAGGAGTCGGGGGGAGTGGGCGTGGTGTCGCCGGCGGAAATGCTTTTCAAAGACACAACTGCTGTGCTTACAAAGAAATATGCGCATGCAAGAAACACGGGAGGACGACATGGCAGCATACGGCCGTGAGGTGCCGCGGTACGCCACGTGGATCGGCGGAAGCACACGTGAGCGATGCACAGCAGGCAACGGTAGACACTGCACCACAGCAACAGCAGCGGCAGCGGCAGCCAAGAGAGAGGGAGAGCGCGGTGTGTGTCACAGCAGTGTCGCCGTAGTTTCGAACGTATGACAGCACGGCAAACGATAAATAGCCCTCTCGTCTATCCTTGGCACTTACGTACACGGCAACAACGAGCTACGCCCCTCCCCCCCCTCGTGGTGCACAAGCAAGAATCTAGACAAGCAAAATAAACGGCCTCGGCTCTGTAGAGCGCGCGCAAAAAAGAGAGACTCTCTATGCGTGTACAACAAAGCTATTACCTGTTCTTTGACGTAGCTGAGCACGTAGCTCGAGAGGTGCTTGACGAACTCGTAGTCGAATTCTTGATCGGTGTACCAGGGGCCTCCCGTTATCTCCTTTGCCGGAGCTGCGTTCGATCGTTGTTGTCGTTGTCGTTGTCGTTGTCGTCGCCGTTGTTTTTCGTCATTGTTGAAGATGATGTTCCATGGAATAGGTCGTGGTGACGAGCAAGATGGGAAGGTGAAAATCAAGAAAAGCCGAGAGACACAGAGAGAGAGAGAGAGAGAGGGAGGGAGAGAGAGGGAGAGAGAGAGAGAGACAGACAGAGACAGAGACAGAGACAGAGACAGAGACAGAGACAGACAGAGAGAGAGAGAGAGAGAGAGAGAGAGAGAGGCAGAAAGCACCGACAGAGGGGCGACAAAAAGAAGAGCCCTCATTCAAGCGGGTATCGCGTCTCTGCCAGTTAGTGAGGTGGCGATCAAGGCCGAGACGTACCAGTTGCTGCTTCTCCTTCGCCGGATCAAAAATAGTCGCGACGTGCTGTGACCGCACGCTTGAGACGGGTGGATCCACATCTAGTAGGTACTTGTCGATGATAGTAGCGCCTCCATGAGACGAACAAACCAAAATGCCACTATCGTTATTCGCTGTAGCTGGCGACTCGGTCTCCACCACGTGCCCTGTCTCTCGCCGTGTGGAGAGCATGATCAGCTCCTCTCTTTGGCCCTTATTCTTCGCGGACGTGGACACCGCGCACCGTACACAATCGGGACTAGCACGACGGGCCCTCCCACCAGTACCACCGCCCACCGCCACCGCCGACAGCACTACAACACCATGGTACCACTGCTGCTGCCAGTGTCGCTCGCGGTGGCGCCGACGCGACACACAGACCCACGTGGGCGCTGCACTACAAGTACGTCCTGGTGCACAAACACCAAAACGAAAAAAAAAAGAAGCGCAGTGCGTCCGTTCCTCACGCTTAACACCAAGTGCTGGTGCAAACACTACATAAAAACACAAAGAAATGCGAAAGTGCGTCCCCCGACTTGCAACTCACTGAGCTCGTAGAGCATGTAGAGCTTCTTGCTCTTGCTCGTGACGGACTTTGCCGTCTTGACGAGGTGCCTCCCCTCCAGAGACTTGAGCGTCTTCGTCATGGTGTTCTGGTTCACGTTCGTCGCCGTCTTGATGTCCCGCGTCCAGATTCCTTTGTTCCCGGCCTTCTCGATCACCTGGTAGATCATCATCTGCTCAGGCCTGCCACCACGAGCGAAGCGACAAAATACATGCAGCAGACAGACCCACAGGGTGGCCATTTTTCCGACCAATCGTTGGATTTGACGTGCTGGCCTCAGAAATACGAAACAGTCTGAGGCGGAAGGGCAAAAAGCGAACTCAATGATTCCGTGCCGGGGGGGGCGCGGGCTGCAATTTTCACAAGCACGGCAGACCGTGCTAAACGATTGATCAATGGCAACACGATCCCACAAGAAACGAAACCGAAAACGCATCCTGGTGCGTGTGTGCGCGTTGTGCTTTTGCTCGATGGCATGCACATTCTCGTATAATAAAACGGAGAAACGAAATCGGGAATATGCCCCACTTCCAATGATGATACCATAAGTTTCTCGTGACAGCAGTATAATAGCAGCATCACGACTCACGTGAGCCCCATGAGCTTCTTGGCCTTCTCTTCCTGCACCAGCTTGTACCACATGGTGTCGTTCTCTCCCTTGGAGAGCTGGAGCCGGTTCTGACAAAACCGCCAACAACAAAAAGAGAACACGCGCCGGCGCACGGCAAGCACACGTCGTTAAAACCAGGATCTACCCAGGTCAGTACCGGCAACAAAAGAACCAAGCGCGAAGGAAAATAACGCACAGCATGTCGGCGCCTGTCACGTAAGGGATCCCCAGAACAAATAATACACGCGCATCCGGGGAGTCAAGCTCCTAACGCAATGCGACAGCAGGGAAGCGGCTAAGTGTAGCAAAGGTACGCGAGAAGCCCAGTACAAGGTTGACATGTTTCCGCCAAAGTACCTTGAGCAGCAGCCTGCGCGAGACGTTGAATCGGGCGAGTGCACACGACCGTGCGTGCGCAGAAAGATCGCAACGTAAGAAAAGGCAACCTGAAAATCACGGGTTAGTGCGCCGGTTCCAATGGTTGTAGACACCGAAGACTGCTGCACACGGCACTCTGTACACGCTATGTAGTACAAGCACAAGTGAATTAACAGATCTGAGCGATGCAATTTCACCGACCGATGGCATGTGATACTTGGTGGGTAGCGTCGACGACCCGACGTAGGAAACAGGAAACTCGTTTGGAAAATATTACAGTAGGACCAATGGCTGCTTTTCGAGACAAGTTATCGAGAACTTGGAAACGGCAACCACCAAGGAACCTCCCGAAGGCCACGCTTCCATGAATGATTAAGCACTCGTTGGAGGTGGTTCGGGTGGATAGGAGGGTGACGCACGGTCACGCAGTTGCCCTCGCAGGGTTTTTCGTACAACTGTGCAAACATGATGGACAAAGCATACACTCGGGGAAGCTGGGTTAGGGATAGGGAATAAATAGGGTCTGCGTCCCCCCTCCCTGTCCTATTTCCGCATAATAAGCTTATTAATCGTGCGAAGGTGGCCCTGGCCACGCGACACCGGTGCGGCTCTGTAGCGACAAGCGGGTCAAGGCGCAGTCAAGAGTGCTTCTGGGATCCCGGTAGAGCTGCATGCAATTCCTCAGACCACACATGGAGGGGGGGGGGGGGGGGCAGTGCCGTGATGCCTGTGTGCACCCCTAGCGCGCAAAAATGATGGGGGCGCCCCTTTCCCGCCCGTTACAATCTGAACATGAAGCGTGTACCTTGAGGCCATGGGGAAAGGGAAGCTGTGCGTGGCACAGCAAAGGTTGAAGGACAAAAAAACCCGATTTGTTGAAAATCATGGGAACGGGCAAAGGACAACAAAACCCGATCTGTTGAAAATCATGGGAATACGAGACCCACATCGACGAGGAGGGAGTTGATGACGTCCACCAGCAGGGGGTACTCCTCGCCGAAGCTCTCCGACAAAACCTCGCTGTTGACCCCATCGTCCTGGCACCATCATACACCACGGACATCGTCATCGTGCAAGCGAAGGGGGGGGGGCAGAAAGAGAGAGAAAAGAGTCGAGCGACTCTTTGTTCAAGGGCTACAGTATTTGGAGTATTTGGAGTAAAATCCCAGTAAAGTAACCCACACACCGCATACGCGGATGGCACAGCGCACGCACGAGCGAATCAAGTAGTAGGCGGGAAAGCTGGAGGGAAATAGAAAATGCAGTCTATGCAAAAGTCTTGCTTTTGGGTGTGGTACTTGTACGCAGCGGGACAACAGCAGCGGGCAGCAATGTCTGCACCGTATGTAAAAGTACAAGATAGGCGTTATAATAGTCCCCACGAACAGCCTGCCTGCTTTGTATTCTTTGCAGTGCATAGACTGGTCTATCGTCCTGGATATGCATTGACCAGGTAAGACGAGAATGCAGGTTCCTACAGCAGTATCTCCACCACGAGCAAAGCGGCACCTACGTACACATCGTCTACATCGTATCTCCCCGTACCGCGAGTTCCGTCGGTTACCCGACCTGAGGTTGTTTGAATAGCTTCAGGGTTTTCTTTGCCCTTGGCGGGTGAGATTGCTCATATCGCAACGAGTATTTATGGTGTGCATTGTTTTGGTTATTTCGATATCCGTACCGATGGCCTCTGCTTACACAGCAGCACAGCAGTGAACTCACGCTCGAGTCCGCGGACAGGATGGTCATGAGGCGGCCATGAAGGCTGGCAAACTTTTCCTGGCTGAGGCTGGTCATCTTCGTGTTCGGCCGACTGCAAAGAGAGAGGAGAGAGGAGGGAGAGGCTAGCTGGCTGGCTTAGTTCTCCTGTTGCTTTACTTTGGCGCTCTCCGTTCGCTCTCTCTCCTTGCCTCTCCTCTCTGCTCTGCTCTCCCTCGCTCCCGAACCAGCTGTCCCGAGCTGCGAACTCCCGCAAAAAACTGGTTCGGTTCGGAACTGAACGCTTCGGGGAAGCGGAGAAGCGGAGTGTCTGCTTGTGTGTCTGCTGCCTGATACAGCTGCTATTGTCGCTGGGAGATGGCCATCAACAAGTTGAACGAGGTCTGCATGGAAGCATGTTGTTGGCAACAGTGTTGTGTCCCCTTCTCTGTTGTAGACCACTGCCGTGCTATTCGCATTGTGTTTCGGAAGTAAGAGAGAGAAAAGGTGCCCGCAATTAATTGATTGGCCAATTTTTTGAAAGGAACGTTCCAAAGAAAGGGAAAAATTCCTTGGTCGACCGATGACCTCATCCACGTCGAGAAGTCGCCTTTCGGCGAAATTCAAAATTTTGAATTGACCGTGGATGACGTCATCGGTCGATCATGGAACTTTCGTGTCTTCCTCGGTCATCTCAGAAATTCGGCGGAATTTACGGTACGTTCGTACTCTGTGCTCGACTGCCACGTCTAGAGACGAACCAAACCTGTCTCTCCAACGCCCCTCGAGCACAAGCCGGTACACGTGTCCCTCACGAACGCCGACGTGTAATGTAGGGGGTCGGAGACTAGTTTTCCCCTCGGATGGTCCAAGAATATTGGCACCGGTGCCCCGGTGTGACCACACCACTACGCCGGCCTTGGTCATATAGAGCCACTTTTCGAGATGGCGTAGTGTCAAGGCGGGTGGTTCTGTATCCCCCAAAACCCATTTGTCGAACTCTGTTTCCCCGATGTCTCGCTCCAACAGAATCGAATACAGGTTGCGAAAGTAGTTCCCACCGTCGAGAGCGTTCTTGTTTTGTACGGGCGCACCTTTTTCTGGCCGACCGCCACCACATGAGCTCGTAAACGCACCCGTGGGGTCTACATCACGAAATCCAAACCTCTTCCTCTCCCGTGCTAACAGATCGACTTGACTGTCACGCCAAGTGTCGGCGACGAGGACAGCGAGACAGGCGCCAGGAAGCTGTTCTTGCCATTTTTTGCCGAACGCGGTCATGGGGATATATCGCACACCTCTGTGCCCGAAGGTCGCTATGTTAAGCTGTCTGAAAAGGGGGCTCTGTGAGTCGATACCAGATCGGACCTGGAGGCTCACAAGAGAGATCGGAATGCCCTGGGAGTCGACGTCGATCCTCCTGCCAGCTGATGCCCAGCAGAGGATTACTCGCCAGGTCTCGTCGGCCGATGACACAACCAGCTGGCCTTGGCCACCGCCCTCTACGTCCACAAACGCTGTGCGCCAAGCCTCAGCGTCACGCGGGTGGACTATGCCTCTTTCAAGCACCATCCTAGCCCAAGTTTGAAAATTGTACAGGTTGAGATCTCCTCCGAGGGGGTGTGAGTTGAACCACTTGTGTCCTGGCCCCGCTGATGAAGGGAAGGAGACACGAATCCTATACCCCGTCCCGAAGACGGCCTGCCGTCGATAGGTTACACCTCGAGGCCCCCTGTAACGCCACCCGTTGCTCCTGTTGGCCAGGGGCTCGGCCTGGTCCACCTGCTCCACGTAGCGCCACCGGTAGCTGGTAGCATGTGATGACGATACAGCAGCCGTGGTTGACCGTGCCATCCTCTGTTTGAAATGAGACAACATAATTTTTCTCTTGTTTTACCCGAAGCGTCAACCACGGTGGTGGCGCCACCGTTGACTGATGACAAAATATATCTGTCTCTCGATTATCCGTATGTAGTCTAGTAAAGACGCGGCTGTAATGTAGAAATTATTCTTCTCCTTTGAGGGAAGGACGTAGTTGTGAGCGTGTGTCGGTGTTTCCTGCGGCGAATGTTTCCCGTCGAGATTTGTCCCTCTCCTGTGGGCCTCGCTTCTTTTTGTCAAAAGACCGTCCGTCGTGGTGTGGGTGCAAGTGGGTGCGACAAAAAAGACTATAAGAAGAGGGGCAGGGATAGTGGGTTCAACACCCAGCCAAGGTACTTGGGGTCGGTGTAGCCAGGAGTAAACGCGTTCGCCCAGGGCACAGGACAGTGTGGTCGGCGGTTCCCGCGAACGATTGATGATGCCATCAATTTGTCAATCACGGCGATTTAAAAATTTTTGAGTTTCCCCGAAAGGTGACTTCTCGACCGTGGCTGACGTCATCGGACGACCATGGTTTTTCCGCCTTTCCTCGGAACGGTCCTGTCAAAAAATCGACCAATGAGAAACTGCGGGCACCTTTTCCTTTTCAGAGAAAAGGTGCCCGCAGTTTTCTGATTGGCCAATTTCTTTGAAAGGAAATTAATTTCTGCCAGCTGTGGTACATCAAATATATCGGCTGGGCTACTTCCTGGCGGCCAAATCATTGCTTACGTACCACCGCCGAAACTTTTGGCGCAACAACACATACAGCCACAAACAGAGTGGGAGAGCTCTCCACCACTTGCAATTCATCTTACCCACTCATGTCGCTCTGACACCGAAAACTAGATTCGAACGAGCGTGCTTTATTGGTAAGTCCCCGTTCCACATTGCGTGAATGATACCAATCCTCATCTTGTACCAGATTAGCCTCGACCAAGTGATCACGGGTCTAAGGTGCTCCTCAGACTCCACACTGCTGCTCTCTGATATGGAACTCCCTTGGTTCTGTTTTCGGTGTCCTTCCCGCAGGCGACGTCCACGGCCGCGGCCCGCGGTCGGTCTCACCGTCGGTGCGTGATAGCCTTCGTACTTGCAGTCTCACACCTCATATCATGTCGTCGGGGTTCGCGCTTGGGGCTGTGTGGTTGCTTACTGGCGTGTGTGGTAGGGCTGCGGCCTTCGTTGTGTCTCCCGGTCTGCCTGCTGCCGCTGGAATGCAACCGCAACTGAGGCGGAAGGGCGAAAAGCGAACTCAATGATTCCGTGCCGGGGGGGGCGCGGGCTGCAATTTTCACAAGCACGGCAGACCGTGCTAAACGATTGATCAATGGCAACACGATCCCACAAGAAACGAAACCGAAAACGCATCCTGGTGCGTGTGTGCGCGTTGTGCTTTTGCTCGATGGCATGCACATTCTCGTATAATAAAACGGAGAAACGAAATCGGGAATATGCCCCACTTCCAATGATGATACCATAAGTTTCTCGTGACAGCAGTATAATAGCAGCATCACGACTCACGTAAGCCCCATGAGCTTCTTGGCCTTCTCTTCCTGCACCAGCTTGTACCACATGGTGTCGTTCTCTCCCTTGGAGAGCTGGAGCCGGTTCTGACAAAACCGCCAACAACAAAAAGAGAACACGCGCCGGCGCACGGCAAGCACACGTCGTTAAAACCAGGATCTACCCAGGTCAGTACCGGCAACAAAAGAACCAAGCGCGAAGGAAAATAACGCACAGCATGTCGGCGCCTGTCACGTAAGGGATCCCCAGAACAAATAATACACGCGCACCCGGGGAGTCAAGCTCCTAACGCAATGCGACAGCAGGGAAGCGGCTAAGTGTAGCAAAGGTACGCGAGAAGCCCAGTACAAGGTTGACATGTTTCCGCCAAAGTACCTTGAGCAGCAGCCTGCGCGAGACGTTGAATCGGGCGAGTGCACACGACCGTGCGTGCGCAGAAAGATCGCAACGTAAGAAAAGGCAACCTGAAAATCACGGGTTAGTGCGCCGGTTCCAATGGTTGTAGACACCGAAGACTGCTGCACACGGCACTCTGTACACGCTATGTAGTACAAGCACAAGTGAATTAACAGATCTGAGCGATGCAATTTCACCGACCGATGGCATGTGATACTTGGTGGGTAGCGTCGAC